GCGACGCCTCCCAGCCGCGCGCCCAGCCCCGGGGCCGCTCGGGGACTTGCTCTCCAACCCGGCCTCCCGATCCGCGCCGCTTTCGCGTCTCTCCTGGGGCCGGTCGGCGTCCCCCCTCCCCTCCAACCTTCCGAACAAAGTTACAGGAAGAACAAAACGGATCGCCGGGGTTTGCCGGGCGAAACGGACAGGAATAGGAATACCAGGTGTAAGTGAGATCTACCATCCCCTCCCGCTGACCAAGCGCCGACCCCTCACCTTTGCCCTCTCCCCGCCGCACAGGAGCCAAGGAAAGGAGGGTTTTCCGACCTGGCGAGGACTGGAAGGAGAGGAGCATACGGAGGGCTGATGGCCGGTGCGCGCACCCCCAACCGCAGGCGACCCCCACCTCCACGCTGGCCCGGGGCTCCCTTCGTCCCTCCCGCGGCCGAGCGTGTCTCCAGGGTCAGCCTCTCCGGTGCGTGTGTGTATGTGTGTGTGTGCGCGCGCGCGTGTGTGTGTGTGTGTGTGTCCGAGCTCCCGCTCCTCGGTATGCTCCGCCGCCGGCGACTGCGCGCCACACAGCCCGGCACTAGAGAACTGGAGTAAAGAGGAGAAGCCAGCGGCCAATTCCGGGCAGGAAATCGACCTACCCTCGCCTGAGGCTGGATCGCGGGCTAGAACCGGGAAGGGGTGGGGCCCCGCGTGGATGGCGTGGACGCGAGTCTCGCAGCGCGCCCGAGTTTGGCGTAAAGGTTGGCAGTGGAGGGTCGATGGGGGAGGCGGAGGGAAAAGCGAGAAGTCGCTGCCAGGCATTTACTGCAATGTACCCCGGGGTGGGCGCCAGCTGGGCGCCGCCGCTCCCAAGTGGCGAGCTCTCCTGTGCTGGAAAGGGCGTCCTCAGCAGCGCAGGTCTCCAGGAGGTTCCGGAGGTGACCCCAGGCCAGGCGGTGAGCTGCGCCTATAAATATAGGTAGATAGTGAAGACAAGGGTAGACTTGGAAATTCTGAAATCGGGGCTCACCGACAGTCAGGTGATCGGGATGACTTCTAAATTTAAAACCACTTGGTCCTGGGGAGTAGCTTACAACTTCACGGGAACTGTTACCGCAACTCTGCAGGTCCAGGAGGGACCTTCCAGCAGCTAAGAAGAGAAATAGAGGGTTATTAAGAACCTGTTTAATATTAAATAAAGCCCATTGTTCTGGGCTTTGAGTTCCATAATGCCCCCAAATGGATCAAGAGATAAATGAACTATTCATGCATTTCTTAGCAGAGGATGATTTTTCCCCCTAACATATAGTGTATCACAGATAACATTTGCCTAATGAAACTAGAAAATTGCATTGTTCATCATGTGACTGTTTTGCATTAACTTAAAGACAACTTTTACATATCAAGACACTTCCCCAATAAATGCAGTCACGCAAGAACACATCATTAGGTCTTATCCTTCAATGCAATCTCAAAATCTCTGACTCTGCCTATAAGTGTGACGGAAATTAATTGCCACTTTAATTTAATCAGTGTAAACAGCCAATCTGGATAATGCAATGCGAATATACTTGTGGAAAGAAAAAGTTTGGAGACAGAATTACTTTTTCTTCAAAACTTCTTTAAAAAGTATATTTTAAGCTCATTTTCTAAATTGGGGACTTCTTAAAAATAAAATGAGCTTGCTTTAGTCTGATATTCACTATACTTTTTAAATCAGTATGACCCTTTATGTAGAAGTGTACCAGCCAAGAAAATAAATGTAGAGCTATGTTCCTTTAAAGAAGTTACTTACTCTCAATTTTCCTCCCCAGTACATTGTAATAAATCAATTCTTATAGTATTTTTATAATGGTAAATTAGATTATCTGTGTAAAGGGCTTAGCCAAGTGCCTTAGTACATAGTGAACACTTGACAGTCGCTGCCTGTTTCACTGAAAATAGTAAGATGATACAAATTCACCATGAGCACTCATCCTAGGACTTTGATTTAGAAGGAAGAAATTGCCAGTTTAATTAATCGTTTTATATAAATTATTCTAAAAGATATTCAGAATCTTCAAAATATGAAGCCCCTTCTGAAGGCAGGAAGAAAGTCAACGGTGTTTTGTGCAATAAAGTTTTGAATTTGACAGATTTCCTTTCTACAGTGTAGGAATAAAAATTACACGTCAATTCCCACAGGAGCCGGAACAGCTGACTGGTAAGTTATCATTCTTCTATGCTTGTTACTTCCAGAATGTGTTCATGAATTTCTTTAAGGCTTAAATGAAGATTGAATCAAAACGATACAATACTTGAGCTAAATTTGTTCTAAATTTAGGCACGTGCTTGTAAAGATTCCCATTGTTAAATGCAAATATTTTTCCTTTCTCTGCCCTTCTATTTTTTGGGGACACCGAATTTTCTTTGCATCTGTCATAAGTAAATATGGGCTTGGAAAAATATATTACATTTCAAAACTGTTGATTGCACCTAATTATGCATGTAAATTGCTACTTCAAGCATGCAGACAGCTTGTAACATTTTGAAAATTTTGCCCCAGTAGTCATTTGAGGTATTTATGTTACTATTTTGCTTTTGCCTTAAATGACTTCATTTCCTCATTAGCTTTCAATTAATAATGGGTCTATGAATAATTTTGACCTTTTGATGTGTATGGTTTAGATGACTCAAATGAGCAAATCAGAACTTTCAAGAAAATCACCCTTCTTATTGCTTATAACAGACCATTTGATTGATTTTTTGAATCTCTGAGATGAGAGTTTAGAAAAAAGTGTCCTGGAAAAGTCATCTAACTCCTTGCTACTCAATATAGTCGATGGACCAATAGCATCTCAACACTTGTATTGTTAGAAATTCAGAGTTTCAGGCCTCACTTGAGCCTTACTGCATCCGAGTCTACATTTTAACAAGATCTCCAAGTGATTCCTTTTACATTCAAGTTTGAGAAGCGCTGCTCTAACTCATCATGTACTTGGCCTTTCTAAAGTATAATATATTATCTTTGGCACTGTTCCCCTAAAATACTACTTGGAATGATTCATTTGTGAAATACAATCTTAGAAACGTGTGTGCGTGCGTGTGTGTGTGTGTGCGCGCGCGCGCGTGTGTGTGTGTGTGTGCGCGCGCGCGTGTAGTTATAGTCCCTCCCTCCTTCCTCCCAGGATCTTAGTGTTGTATAATGAAAAATTACATAGATTAAGAATGTATCTATTGTAATCTCTGGTAATGAATTAGAAGTATACAGTTTCCTAAATTCAAAAAGTACTAACCTGAAAAGGGAGTAGCACTTCATTTTGAATCATAACTTTTATTCAAATGTGTGGAACTAGTTCCTAAAAAAATTTGGTCATGTTGACTTAGACTTGAAAGTCCAGTTTCCACTCTACTGGGATTATTGATACCGTCTATGACAATGCAAGCAGAAACTGCCAAGTTTGTGTCAGTGCAATGACAGTCTAATAAACCATCAGTGATTTGGCATAAGTATGGACTAAATTACATGCCCCAATAGAACTTGTTACTTTAAAGAATTTTTTGAAAGCGCATATACATAGATCAATAAGTTATTACCATAAAAATCTGTCTGGTACAGAATTTCTCATCTTAAATGTACATGAAATCACCTGCGGAATGTTGTTGAAATGCAGGTTATGACTCAGCAGGACAGGTTTTGGGCCTGAGACTCTGCATTGCTAACTAACAGACTTCCAGATGAAGCCTGGATTTAATAGATTTGCTTTATTATCGTCAGTGGTTCTGGTCCTCAGATTTAATAGATTTGCTTTATCATCGTCTGTGGTTCTTAAATTTTTATTACTTGGGAAGATTTTTAAAATCATTAATGCCCAGACTACACCCGAGACAAATTAAATCCAAATTTCTACAGGTAGATCTAAGCATCAGTCGTTTTTAAACCTCCCCAGGTGTTTACAGCGTGTGACCAAAATTGGGACTCAAACTTATATATCAGTGATTCTCCAAGTGTGGTCTCCAGACCAGCAGCAGCAGCAGCAGCCCCTAGGAGCCAGTTATGACTATTGCCCCTCAGGCCCTCCCCAGACCTACTGAATCAGTACCTGCACTCTAAGATCGCCAGGACATCTGTGTGCACATTTAAAGACTAAGAAGCACAGCTCTAGCATATTCTCGTGAGATGGATTGGTGGCACTCAACCAGCAGCAACCTGATCGTACCTCCATCTCTTGGCTCTTTATGCATCTACATGCATTCTGAGACGTTCTACAAACTCTTATGGATAAAGTTCCAATTGATAAAGGGAATCTACAAGAATCATTAGCCTGTTTTAACATTTCTGTGGTTAGCAGCACTGTCCAATAGAACTTTCTGCAGTGAAAGAAATGTTCTATATCTGTGCTCTTCAGTAAGTAGCCACCAGCCACTTGAGGCTATTGAATGCACGAATTATGGCTAATGTGACTAAGAAATGTTTAATTTTAATTTTATTTCATTTCAACTGATTTAAATTTAAGTAGCTTCATGTGGGCATTGGCTCCCGTATTGGACAGAGCAGCTTCAGAGTAATCACTCTTCCTGTTGCTTTACTCTTAGTCAAATTTCCAGGTTGAACACAGGCCCCTCCTGCTCCATTTTTACATGTATTAATCCCCAGTGAATGCACCAGGATGAAAAACATCTGCCTTGCCTCCTCATTTACATAATAAGTAACATTACGCTTATTATTTTGAATGAGAGGAGTTTAACTTGAATTAAATGCCACCAAAAGTTGTCAAAACCTTTTTCATAGCATTCATAATTATGTAGCTTTAATTTTACAGCCTTTTCAAACATCAGCATACGTGGGGTGTGTTTGGAACTACCTTAAGAAAAGGCTACAGACAAAAGACTACAAATGGATTCAGGGTCAAAGACACAGACACACCCTCCCCAGCATCTTATTGATGCGTAATGGAGATTTGAATAAATTAAGCATATATCTATGTTGAAAATAAATATCAGAACTTGAAGATCCCTCTCAAAATGGAAGGTCAGATACAAAACAAAGGAGGGATTAAGGAGCCAGAGATAGCAAATAAAATCAAAATAGAAATCTACTCAACGATTACCATGAATGTAAATATCTAATTGGTAGAATCCATGGGATGAATGTAAATCTCGAATCGGTGGAATCATTAAGATGGGATAGGATGAGATGGGATGGGATGGGATGGGATGGGATGAAACAAAAATATTCATTTAAAGACAGGCACCAGAAGAGAAGAGTCTTCTCTTCTCCAGGATGAGAAAAACAACAGCATGCACAATTATAACAGCATTGCCTACCAGCTATTAAGTTTGTTCCATACATTATCCCCTGCAATCCTCCCAGCAACCCTGTGAGGTGAGTATGATCAGGAAAGAGATTATTCATGGACATTATTTTAACTGACACACCTCAGAATAAAAGCAAGCAAATCCCTACTTGAAAGAGGAGGACAGTGTTAAAATGGAGTCAGCCCTCTTCTTTGATTGAAAGGGACATTTGTCATTTCTAAGCTGAATTAGCCACAACCTGTTTTCTAAAAGGAGGCTAACACTACAAAAATATTTCAGCAGGGCCTGTGTCTTGCCCAGCTGCTGATCTAGTACTGTGTGATACAAGATTATGCCCACAAAGAAATGTGTAGCTAGGGGCAACAGCCTCACTTCCGAAGATGGTCACTTCATAGCAACTGAAACCAATAAATAGACTGCCTTTGTTGTCCCCAGGAAAGAAACTCCAAGGGACTTCAGATAATATGAATTCAGGAGGTTGGTCAGGAGCTCAGGCTATTCAGAACTCATCCTGACTCTCATGCAGGCATCTTAAGACCACCTTCACACAGGCTCTTCTTCAGAAAGTGAGGGCAAGTCTCTTCATAATCCATATCAATCCACCTCAGAAGGAAGCGGGCAGA